CTGTCTGACACTGAAAATCCGTTGTATTGTAAAATTCGTTATATCAAAATTCGTTGTAGAAAGAGTTGACTGTAATAGCCATTCAGAAAAAGCTCAGTATGCTCCCAGACTGGAGGAAGGAACTTATTGAGAATATATATCAAACAGCATCGAATCAAAGCAAAAAAGGAAAAACACTTGAAGATTCGTTTGGGCTGTTATTTGATTTGATGGGGGAATTAATAGATATACGAGGAGATCTCGATGTGGTCGGCCACCCCATTCTTATTACATTATATGAAAATATACAAGATTTTGATGACGTAACATTTGGGAAAATGACACTTGGGACATTATGTCATTTGCTTTTATATTTGGAAGAGGATATAAGCGTGATTCAAGATTATCTTGGTATTGTCAGTCATTCTGATCAGGAAATAAGTGGATTAGAAAAAGCCAATAAAAATGCAAAAGCGTATCTTCAGCGAAGCACTTACAGGTAAACTTTTGACGGTTCCTTACCCCCCTATTGATGAATTTCTGTATTAACACTCCTGGACCATTTCTGCCGAAGTCGCAATCCAGAGGGGAGTAAAAATGTTTTATTTTTCTGGAGAGACTACCGTTATTTCAATTGTGTCATTTGTGTGAAAATTCCATGTTTAGCTAATCTATTTTTTTTGTCGCACAAGACCTAACCGATGATCCACTTATTTTTTGTCGCACAAGAGTGCCTAACAAATTCTTTCAAGCTGAAGAGATCTTAAAGAGACCAGATCACTGCTCTGGACCCGCATGATTGGAATCATTGGTTTCTTTGGACTCAGATGAATCTGTCTCCTCGCAGAATGGTACAAAATCACCATAGATTGTTAATCCTTGTTTTTCCATATCTATTTTTGCTTCGCGAAGCCATAACTATGGTAATCCTAATACAAGGTCCGCTTTTGGCTTTTTAATAATCACGAAATCATTAAAAATATTGTCACCATTAGTAGATACTAGTCTATCTTTCCTCTTGTATCAGAAAGATAAATCCAGACATTTCAACCTGTTTTTTTCTTTATATTCAGTGTACTCCATCTCAAGCTTATCGACCAAGCTTCTTCTAATAAAATTTTCTC